TTGCGTCGGGCGCTGGCAGCGCAGAGCGTCTCCGTGCCGAGGACGTGTAAGGTTCAAAGAGGAGTGAGAACGGCTGCCCGGGCACGAGAGCCTCCGGCTCGGTCCGCACCAGCACGTCCGTGCTCTGTACTTCAAGCCAGTCTTCAGTTATTAAAGAGCAGGGTAGGAGCAGCTGTGACAAAAGCAATTACGCCGTACGTTGTACCTTCCTTTGCATCACGCCGGAGCTGCGCGAGTGTGGTTTAGGCTCCCTCTCCTATTTCATTTCTTCGGCATCAGCTGTGGAAAACTCCTCTGCTGAATTTCACATGTGCAACAGTTTGTTTAAATCTGCCAATTGACATTTATGTATTCGTATTAATGCTTGTAATGAGTAATTAAAAGTTGACACCAGCTAGGTAAATGTTTTCTTGTTCCTCATGCATGTGTGCATATGCATATACATGAATGAAAGATCTTGGCTACTTCTTAAACCAATGTGATAATGAAGACTATAAAAGAATCAAAATTCTAATAATAATAAAAAGGTTTTTTCTAGAATCAGAGAAATAGTTAAAAAGAGAAAGAAGCAGAGCTGGAAGAGGGGTTGATGTGATTTCCCTATTAAAAGGAAAAATAAATCCCAGGTTCGTTAAGCATCGTTTCCCAGGTGTGTTGCTCCATGTCCAGCTGCTCCATGTTCCAGTGACAGAATCCAAACAGCAACTTGTTTGTGGCTGTTTGATCAGCAGGTAATTGGCCTCCCAGAGTTGGTGCTTCAGGGACTGTTTCATGGCAAGAGCAGAAGAGCCGGGAGCTGGAAATGCTGAGAGGTACCGTGCCGCTCTGCGGCGCTGCCCTCAAAGGCTCCCAGCACACGGTGGGCCCTGGTGCCCTCAGCCCAGCGCCAGCTCTGTGTTTCTGCAAACCGTGGCCAGAGCCAGCTGTGTGCCTGCAAAAGCCATCCCAAACCTGGGTCGTTCTGGCTGCCTTTAAATTGCTGCAAAATCAATGCCTTGCAAAGGAATGTTTGCTGCATAGAGGGATGTCTCGAGGTTCCTTTCATCCTCTACAAACATATTTGCAGGAGGCACGCTAATATTTTGCTTTAAAACCCTTGTCAGAAAGGAGGGAGGCTGTACGGGGCAGTTTGCGCCTGCCGTGCCACGCAGGGCAGCGCCCGAGGGCTGGCACGTTGCATGCCGTGGGAGCGGAGAACGAGCCACCGAGGATATCCCAGAGGAGCAGCAGTGGGAGGGTCGGAGTGATGGGAAGACGCAGGGCAAGATAATGAAATACCTCCATGAAACAGTTAAGAACCTGCACCTTGTCTTTCTTCTGCCATGTTTTAGAGCTGCATGTATTGGCAGAGGTAAATTTAAGCGAGGTGCTCTAATGGTGCCTCCATATCCGAGAGCGGTGACTGCCAGAAGCATCCCTGGTCCTCGGGTGTGCTTTCGCTGTGTCTGCTCTCCTCACACAGGCTTTATCGCGGCTGGTGCCGCCGTTTGCCAGCACCAGCAGCCGCCTCCTGCCTTTCCAGGTGCTCACGTGTGTTGATACGTTATTCTCGTGATGTATTCTGTGGTGAAGCAGAGTGAAATGGCTGAGACTCCAGCCTTTTCCTTGGTGTAGTTCCTGTCACATGTATGCCTATTCTGTAGTCTGAGTAATTTTAAAATTAACTGAATGGTATTTTGACATGTGAATCTGCTATATAATATGCAGTCCTAGAAAAGGAGTGCTTGCAAATAGTTTCTTGAAGCTACTACACCACAGTTTGTTTGTTTGGCAGACAGAAGGTGCTCCTTAACTCGAGATGGATGAGGGGTGAGGTATGTCGTGGCTTGTCCTTGTTATAGCACTCTTAATACTGCTCATATTGCCCTGTATTTGCAGCGTGTTGTTGCACTGGAGCTCTCCGAGGCGCCCGCGAGAGCCGTGCGGGGTGGCTGGGTGTAGGGCGGGTGTCTCCCGGCAGAGCCGGGGCCAGGGGCGCGGAGCCATGCGCGCTGGCAGGGCTGGGCGGCCCCCCGCCCCGAGCCGCTTCAGCTTCCTTGGCCAATTTACCTTCAGGCACATATGCGCGGGAATGCTTGATTATGATTGCATATCGCTCATGGAGTTTTTATCGTGAGTTGAAACATCATAATTTTTTTTGTTTAACTCTGCCTAAAACTTTGCAGGCTTTGAGGTAGAAATCCGGGTGCTGTGGCACGGGGCCACGATCGGGGTTTGTAGGCTGTGATTCCAGGAGGAGCACGCCAGGTCGCGTAGCCCGGGCGGCTGCGTGCCGCCGGCTGTACGCGCTCCCCGCCGGGGCCGTCGCCGTCCCTGCTCTGCGCCCCCTCGGCAGCGGCGATGGCTGCAGCTGGGGAGCACGGGGCGGGGGCCTGCGCCCGCTTTCCCTGGGACTGCTGAACTTGCAAAGGCTACGTAAACCTTGTCCTCCCTGCCGCCGGCGGGATGAGCCGGGCGACCGGAGAGCGTCTCTTCTCGGACCCCCAGATACGTGTTTTAAGAGTAGTGGAAGCGCAAGATGATGAAAAAAAAAACTAAATGAAAAAAATGTATTTTTTAATATTTCTTACTGTGAAAACTACTTTTTCCTTGTTGTTAGGCCTGTGTCTCATACCTGCTGCCGTTTTTGCCTTTCCTTACTGTCCCTTATGGCCTCTCTGTGCCCAGGGGTAGGCGTTTTGTAGCCAGTAGAAACACTTTCTGGTGTTCAGCACTTCAGGATGGAAACAGCTGTTGGTAAAGGAGAGGAACGTGTTGGTAAAGGAGAGAGCACTTACAGCTGCTTCCAGTGGCAATGCCATCGAAGGCTCCTCGGCGGTTAACCCAGGGCACGGCAGCATCTCCTGGCCGGGAGGAGAGGGGCTGGCCGGCCCCGGGCCCCTCGGGGGGAGGCTGCTGCGCCGGGGTGGCCGTGGAAAAAAGTTTGGGGTTCAGGGAAAGCAGGACGAAAAGCTCAGTGCAATAACAGCCTCACTCCAAAGTATATGAATGTGTCCCATTAAAATCCAGCATGATATTTAGAAAGGTGATACGGTCCTCGTCACACACACGTGTGTGTAAGTAAAGGACTGAGTGAGGAGGAGGAGGTGAGGAGAGGAGACTCGGAGCCACAGGGAGCGGTTTGTTTTTTCGTCACCAGTTTTGGCTTGTTGGGAATGTATTTATTGCATGATAAAAAGAAATCCTTTCCCCTCACAGATAATGGCAAAGAATCGAGTAGATCCTCCTGCCCACCGACCTTGATTTTACATACGGAGAGGAAGAGTACCCCTGTGGAGAGCGATGGCGATAAGGTCTGCGATGGAGTTTCTTCTTTTAAAAACCTCTTTAAACTATTGAACTGCCCAAATCAGGGTCAGTATAAAGGGCTGTCCTGTGGCTGGAGCTGTGCTGCTGATACGGGATTGTTTCCTACAGTGAATTTTGCAGAGCTATCTGTTTAATTTCTCTGGGTGCTTTACAGCAGCTCTGCCACTGTAGTGTCCCCATGCCGGAGGAGAAGCGAGTTGATGGGGGGTGTGAGTGCAAATGTGGAGGTGTGACACAGCCCAGGACAAAATTCGCGTCCTGAGAAGCTGAAGTCCAGAAGCGGGGTGTCTGTGACTGTCTCCGGCTCGCTGCGGTGGCAGGGACCTGTGGGGCCGGGTCGGCCCCTGCTCAGAGCAGGATCCCCTCGCAGGGCATCGTGCCGCTTATTGCAACATCAGCCCCAGCTGCAAGGAAGAATTTTTTCATGGCTTCCACCTTTGTGCTGTTCCTAATTTAACTGTGCTGTGCACTTCTGTAGCCTTCCTTTACAGATAATTGCAAGGTCCTTAAATAAAACTGACAGGTGAACGTAAACGGATAGCAAATAATATGTGCAACTTATGGATGGGTAATAGTATATGTGTGTAACTTCATTAGCTTTTTATAAAAAAGCCTAGATTATTGTATGAAGAAACCAGCCTTGAATCACACTCCCAGCTTCTGTGAAATAAACGGAAGCATTTGCTTTCTGTGCAGCTCGTGCAGACTTCATGTAAATGGCTAAAGCTAAAAGAGGGAAACCTTTATCCAAGTGTGGGGGTGTGGAAGAGCATCTCGGGCTCAGAAGGCAGCAGTGTGGCAGATGCTCGAAGCCGCCTTGGAGCAGACGTGCTCTGTTCCCCCGCATTTCTGCTCCACGCACACATGCGTTTTGCAGCAGGAGCTCTGTCCTGCAGGAGGAGGACCTGTGGGCTGAGCTACTGTTCAGTTTATTTTCCTTTGGCACATTCCTATCACGCTGCCGTCTTTAGGCTCTGTGTGAGCAAACCTTCCCTGCTGACGGGGCGCTGCAGGTGTGCCCCACGCGTGCAGCTGTGCCAGTACTTGGGCACATTCCTGAGGGCTTTTAGTTGTAAAATACTTTCAAGATGAGGAGCTCTGGACATATGCTTTATTATTTTTTAATTAAGTACGTGCTTCTTGTGTTTTGATACCGCACTGAGCTAGATCACTGCCTTCCTCCCACACCTCCCCCTCGCACTTCATTTCCGTAAGCTACTCCAATAAATAGCTGCTCTTCAGCTGGTGAAACGCTGCGCTTGTCGGCTGTACCATACAACCCTGCTGCGTTGTTGCTTGCTCCGTCCCTAGGGCCAGCCCTACGCAGAGCAGCCCAGCCCTGTCGCAGGGGGGTCCGGGGGGGACGGGCACGCAGCTGGGTCCCTGCCCCTCGTTAGGGCGGACATTGCTCCCCGCGCTTCGTTTCTGACGAGGCGGCTCTCCTCGTTATTGCAATACACAGAGTTATACCTGCTGTCCCAAGTGAGCTATTGGCCTGGACAGAAGCATATCTGCTGGTTTTTCATTTGTATTGCTGCAAGTGCGGCGACATTTTTATTATTTCTGCAAGTGGGGCGACATTTTTATTATTTCCCGTTTATCTGGGCTATTCTCAAGGTAGCTGGTTGTTCATAAAGCTGCTCCTGGAATAATGGCAATAAGGGTGATCCACTTCGAGTTAAAGGCAGTGATTTGTATAACAGTAACAGTCTTCTGCATCGGCTTCATTTGTTGACTAATCTCTGTCTGTCTTTCAAGGATCCTTCTTTTAAACTAGTGAATGAGGATGACAGCACATCAAACGGCAACAAGCCCGTGGCATCCACTCCAGTGCCAGGATCACCATGGTAAGCAAATGCAATCAGACCGGCTAGAAGCCATTCATCAGTGCTGTTTCCCTTGCCAAACGTGCATTAGCGGTCTGGTACGTGGGGCAAATACGCTACCCTGGGCGTTAGGCAGCAGTGCTGGGTTGCCGTTCCAGCTTCTGCTGGAGCTTTCCCTCATTAATCGCGTACGGAAGGACAGTGCGGGGAGGCAGCCGCAAAGAGGGCGCGAGCCAGCTCCCTGGGATGGGCGAGGTGGGGGCTGTGTGCTGCGCGGCCCCGGCTCGGCCAGGGACTGGCTCTGGCAGAAGGCAACCGACGGCTTCTCTGTCAGCTTTTGTGGGTGTGCATGGCCCTCGCCTGCTGTGAGCAGGGCCGTGTCCGTCTGTGCTCTGCCTCACCGCGTCTCACGCGTGCCGAGGGTCCAGCTTGGGTGGATCAAAGGGGAAATACAAGATCCGTCAGAAACGTTCTTGCTTTTTGGGGCCAGATCCTCTTTCTCTCCCAGTTATTTCATTGGCAGTGGATGACTCTTACTGTCTTGCAAGATTAGTGTTGATTTTGGGTTGTGTCAGTGCCAATAGGTTGTGTCTCATGATGCCGGTTTCCTGACCACCTTCCCATTCAGGTACATGTTGGGTAACTAAAGCTCTCGTGTCATTTTTAAATAGACAAAAAATTCCTTCACTTTCTGTCGTGAATGGTTGACTAGAGGGATTATTTACCTCCTTTACCTATATGCATTCTTACGCTGGATGAAATAATCAGGTTATACTCAGTGGCTGACATCTATGGGATCTTGGGCTAAGGCACTCCACGTAGGTATAGGCCATTATTTGTTGCTATTACATTGTGCCATTTTGCAAACCAGTAAGCACAGTGTGATGTCCCACTTAATCTTAACATCATAAATATGTGATGTACATCAATCCTTTCTTTTCCTGACGGTTGGTACTTTATGGTGTAGTGCAGAGGAACCATTTGAGCCCAGCAGTGTCATAGGCAGGTTATGGTTTCATCCATTCTTACAGTGGTACCCGGGAGGGATCTTGCAGCACCCCCTCTTCTCCAGCAGCGTCTGCTGAGCGGTGGATGGGCAGCCGGTACCTCCACCGAAGCGCACCACTCTCAGATCCAAACTTGTGATATTTTTTATCTCTAAGGAGAAACCTTACATTTCTGGGTTTCCAGAGGACTGTTCAGTGACCCAGGGAGTACTCCGGGTGCGAGAAAAGGCATCCAGAGCTGGTCCTCGGGACCAGAGGGATGGGGCATAGTCCTCATGCTGACGGTTGTCCCATGTTCTGAGGTGACAGCGTCTCGTCTGCCCCATGGCTCCTGATGGAACATGGAGCGTGCCCGTAGGGTGCTTCAGTCACAATTTACAAGTTTTTCTGATAGGTTGAAACTAGGTACGCAACACACATTCACCAAATCCTGAATGTACTTCAGGCACTCCCCACCCGTAGGTTGGCTCCCTGCTTCTGCAGGGCCCGTGGTTGATGTGACATCGCCAAGCACCTGCTAGAAGTAGCTAGACCATAATTTTTAATGGCAGAAAAATTTTCAGGAATGTTAGCAAACCTTACTTACCTTATGAAATAAGATAAAATACTAATATCGTCATCTTGTGCCCTTATTCATACCTAAATTACAATTTTCTAAAGGGAAGCATGAACATAACAATATCTGCATTTCCAGTTTATGCTCTGTGACTGAAACAAAATACCATGAGTCCCCTGTGGATAATTGAAATTGTTATTGTACCAAAGAGGAACAGGTGACACGTTACATGGGGAAAAGGACATTAATTTTAAATTAAATGTCAAATTATATTAGTCATGGAAAAGTGAAGAGGTGTCACAGGGGACCCCCGCGTTTCTAACCTGGGGTGATGGCACGCCAGACCTGGTGCTACTCGGTGATTAATGAGCGCCAGCAACATCTGTGTGCGTGGCCAGGGGAGCGCTGAGCACAGCAGCCTACCAGCACGGACAAAACACACGTTTCCAGACCCACTGGTTATAATCCCTCTCAAGTAATGGCTTCAACAGTCCAGTGTGCATGTGGTAGCATTGCAGATCCCGAACTAGATATGGGTTTCAGGTGTACCGTCATTTGCAACTAATTCCCCAAACAGTTCAAATTCTGCAGTGCGCTTACTTGCCAAAGAAGGAAATTACAGCAAGGGGCATTTCAAAGCAGGCATTTACTCCTGGGCAGGATTGGGCCTGTGTCCTGACCATAATTCGAATATTTAATAAAAGGATAACAATAACCCATTTATATTAATCAGCTAAGTGTTCTCTTCACCTAAATGCCAGGCTTTTTTTCCCTTCCTTCTGAGACAGCTGTGGTGTTTATGGGAGTCTCAGTCTGGAAGTGTTGCTGCAGCAGTCCCTCTGGGTGTGCTCTGCAGGAGAGGCTCGGGGCTGGTGGGTCGGTGTTTCTGGGAGAACAGAGGTTCCCGTAGCTCCAAGGTACAAAGTAAGAAGTCATAACTATACCTAATCATTGAACATCTGTCTTGTGAGGAAGTTTGGTGATCCAGAACGTTTGTGCATTAAAATAAACAGAAAATTATTAAAATATTTGTCATGTCTGTGTCACTGAATTCAGGATGCCAGGACTTCCACGGGGTGTAAGTGTGGCTGAAGGCAACGGCTGGGTTTGTTCAACCGATTTTGTGCTCCTGTTCATCGGGAGAACAATTAACTCCGCTGAACATAATTACTGTGATGTTCGGGCTCAGTAACGCACTCGCACCGACCTGCTCCCAGCACCCTGCAGCTCCCTCCACGGTTGCTTACAGACATTATGTATTTTTCATTATGTGTTTAGGCAAGACCAATGGTGATTTCTTACCAGTGGTACCCAGAGTATATTGGATTATCTTATTACAGTACTCGGCAGTGATGAAGCATTTTTCATATTTGCAGTCTCTTACCCAGAGCAGACTTTTTTTTTTAAACCAGTTTTGTTCTCTGCTTCTAATAACAGTTAAGCAGCAGAGCTTCTAATGAGAAGGTTTGTTTTTTCCAGGTATTTATGCTTCAGAGGGACCAACATATTCCCATTATAAGTGTTCATGTGTATGGGTGCGTGTGAGGAAGTCAGAGTGTGTAGATGATGTTTGGTAGTTTTCATTACGATTCAGAAAGTGTGGGGTTGAGATTGATACTGTGTTTGTTTATTTACATATAGATTTAGTGAAGTACAACTTGAGGTTTTCCAACGTCTATTAAGGATGGTGTGATGCTTATTTTCATATTACTTTAGCTGATTTAAAGTGAATGTCAGGACAAAAAGTTGAACTTCTGTCATGCATAGTTTAACTGACCGAGTCAAGAAACCGTGGTTTGTACAGCAGCGACTCGCTCACATTTTTCAGATTTGAAACGGAGCCCATAAAAATCAACCTCAGCCTTCGTGGCAGCCTTCTGCAGCGGCTGGGGGGACCTGTCCAGCGCAGAGCGCGGTGGGAGCTGGCGGGATGCCGCGGGGTGCCGCGGGCGGGTACACCTCCTCCTGCCGGGGCAGCCCGCGGCGGCTCCCCGCGG